GCCTATTAGTGTCCATCAATCTGGTTAGAATTTTTAAATAAACCGCGTAACGTGTATTCTTATGAGTAACATTGACATTTGAGTATCATTTTCACTATTTCTAATGGAAAAAAATATGAACGTTTTGTTTTTTGTTTAATGCTTCAATAGACGAGGTCAATCGAGCCCTATCTTTGACTTAAGCTCTGAGGCATAGTGCCTTGCAGTTTACCCGTCTAAGTCATCGAAGAGTTCGACATGAAACCTAGTAGTTACGGCATCATCCAACTGAGTCGCCCGCAAAGGTCTTTGAACTAACAACTATTCCATCCCAAAAAAAACAATTTATTACATTGTATATTTATTATTACATTGTACTCGTATAATATTATTATTTACAATTAAGGGCCTTTATTTATCTGTGAGATGTATTTGTGAATTTGAGATTAAATAGTCAGTTGCTCTTTTCAATTTTTATTATAAGCTCTAATATAATATACATAAAATTAATATAGGTCGTAAGATTTCAGTAACTTTCCTTTTTATTTTATATATCAAGGCTTAAACTTAACTTAACCACCCTACAACCTATCTTAAACTAAATGTAAATATTTAAGTCTCTTGTGCTCGCACATACTCAAATTTTAACAAAAACCAAGCGTCACAAATTAAAAAAAATTGTAGAAAATATTAAAGAACCTATATAACATCGATCAATAATTAAATTTTATCATACACACACACACCCACACATACACACGCTTCTGCCAAAAGTCGAAACATAAATATCGGATGACGTCATCTCAAGGAATGATTGGGTCAAGGTGATAGGAAAACGAAAGCAGTCGAAGCAAAGATAAGTGATCCGATAGGAACGCGATTACTGTCATCAATAGATACAATGTCATAAAATGTGATAAAAAATGTGAAGTATGAAACCGCATTTTATGTAGTAGTAGTAGTTTTATTTTTCCAACTGGAAAGGCAAGGGTACCATACCATACAGCCTAATATTTTTTATATATTTTTATATATCATATTATAAAATGTAATAAAGTTGATTAATATGAAACATGGCATTAAAATGAACTGAGATGAGATGATATGGGATGAAATAATGGGATGAATAATCTCAGTAAAATGGTGGTAATTTACTGAGACTTTTTCAGAGAACTATTTGGAGGATTCCGAGAAGTTACGTTCAGTGGCTTTGTTTCATTTTCTCACATTTGTGCACTTTCACAGATACTAAACAGTTAAAAAAACCACCGTTATTACACATTTAAACCCGAAGAAACACTAAATAGTCAAAATAAAACAAATCACACAACTTCACTTCCCGCCAAAAAGTTCATTCTAGGTTAGGCTGTATACTGAATAAATTGAAATTTTGAGGCTTAACTCCCTTTACCTACCTAATTGTTCTAGCCTCGTATGTGAACGTTTTTGGATTCTATAGTACAGAGGGAAACTCAAACTTAGAGCAATTGACTGTAGATCCAACGTTTTCATTGTGTATATAAACAAATACCTGACAGCAATGTACTCGCGAGTCATTAGCACGATGAAGGAATTTTTTAATTACGATTACTTACGAATTACTACTAATGATAGGGTAAATTAGGAATTCGAACTCTTTTTTTTTATTATCGCTTATGTGGCTGGGCTGGTGTTAAATGGTTATCAATTCCGCCACCTACCTCGAGACATAAGTTCTATGTCTCCGTTTTAATAGTACCTACAACGGCTACCCAACCCTCCAAACCGAAACGCATTACTGCTTCACGGTAGAAATAGACAGGGTCGTGATAACTACCCGTGCGAACAGAAGATATCCTACCACCAGTATGTAATGTACCTACGTTTTCGTTTGATGCCTTATTTACTAATCGTAAACTGTCATCTTGGTATACAAAATTAGAGAAGCCTTCATTTGATGTCCACGGGTAGAAAAATCGACGCCCCCATCTAAAATTAAGTAGTTACGGCAACGCATAGATATCAAAGCCAATGCTATAATCCACCTTAAGACATGACGTTGAAATTTCAATTGTAATGTAAGATGACCGTCTCATCTTTTAAATTAGAAGGCAATGTGATCCATAAATCAGCTGACGCGCTCCAATCCAGGTTCGTTGTGCCTGTTTAATTTTCCAAGTTCACATAATTTAAACTTCTCAAGCCGGCAAGATTAACATGAGCTTAACTTAGGGCCTACAGGATTCGAACACCGATGCATCGCTTGATACGATTGCACCGGACGTCAAAATCAAAAATCAAAATCAAATCCTTTAGGCCACGACGACTTCTAAAACTACTAAAAATCAACACCATCATCTTAGTTTTAATTCCAAATTAGTTGAGACTTCGACTTCATGTCATGTCTCATAAGGGATGACGACGTCCCGCGTAATGCAGATCTATTAATTTAGTTAACGCTGAGAAGTTTTACATAAAACTGACCCCCCTGGCTTAATACAATACTGCAATTAGTTATGTTCTACGGAAAAATGAAAAAATATGTTTGTAATAGGCTATAGTATAACCGCTATGCATATGAGTTAACTCTGTTGAAACACAATTGATTGAATGAGAAAAGAAAAAATCATTTATATATTTTAGGTTAAGTAGGTTGTGACCACCAATTGTGCCGTCATTACTTTCATATGAATGTTCAAGAAAATGTCGATGATGTGTATTCATTCAAGAATTTACAAGGATTGAAATCAAATTTTTAGCTTTTACGATGTGTAAAATCTAAAATAAAATATATTGGAAATATATTTAATTTGATTTTCTATTCAAGGTCAAGTCCGTTCATAAGTTCTTACATTTGGCAACCCGCTAGAGCGGGGATTCCACAAATCTATTCCAGACAACAGAGCCCTTTTCCAAAATGAACCGATTCCTCAGATCCCTGCGGCAAAATTGTTTTAAAATCCTGTCTCTAGTTTTTTTTATTGATACGAAATTCTTACCAATTTAAATTTTTTACAGTTAACCAGCTGCAGATTATTTGTTTGTGTAAATGGATGATGTCAACCATTTTAGGAATCTCTGCAATAGAGATTTCTTGTTATGCTCAATTAATTAAATGACTCACTTAAAAAGCGTAATTTAAACAGGTCTAGCAAGTGTAAAAAGACAATTTAGTTTCAGACCGGTTCAAAGATTACAACCGATTAAAACTTTCTCTACTTAATTATGCCATTTAACTTTATGAAATTAAAAAAAGGTTTTAGAACGTGTACGCCGTATGAAGCAAATAATAAAAAAAAAAACTAAAAATCGTTGATTTCGATTATCCGTTTTCACTGCCTATTGTTAACATTGATTGGTTTATTTAAAAGCACACGGTCTTTAATTCCGACCGTAATGGATTCAACGTACTAGTTTAATAATGATAATAAAAATTAGTAGAAAATCAATCATCATTTAGAGCTTCGTAACTAAAATACTATTCGAAGACTACGAAAAATATATGTATCTTCAGTGAAAATTTATGTCAAGAGCCCACACCTCTTTTGCTATAGATTAGACCGCTTTTCATCACATACGACATAATACATTTTACTTTTGAAATAATTTACTACTATCAAGAAATATCCGTATTGTATACTAATATTTTTACTACATAGTATAAAACAAAGTCGCTTTCTCTGTCCCTATATCTGTCTGTCCCTATGTATGCTTAAATCTTGAAAACTACGCAACGGATTTTGACGCGGTTTTTTCTAATAGATAGAGTGATTGAAGAGGAAGGTTTATATGTATAATAACATCCATTAAATGGTGGAGAAATCAATAATAAATTACAGTTTCCGAAGCGAAGCGAGGGCGGGTCACCAGTATACTATATAATAAATTATATACTAATAGTATATACTATACTAGCATTTGCTATTTTATTGCATCAAACAACAACACTACAATAAATCGCCGGAAACTCTCACTCATCACTTAACGGAAACAACATTCTATTTTCAAACCAATCTCTTGATACGGATGTGACTTTGGCAGTTTTAAGAACCAGAATACAATTTCAGTAAGCTATCTGTTTCTTAAAAAGTGAGAGTGAATCAATATAACGGTAATATTCCTTAAATCGGAATGCATGATGATAATCGTGGCCTGGCAACATTTCATACCATCGGTACTTAAGATACGAACTAGATTTAGGAGTTAGAAATTTAAGTAGCATCATATACCTATAAGAGTTTTAATAGATCGTATATACCGTAAGCCGGGGTGTTATATCCGTATCGTTTTATTAATAGCCGAACCACGATTGCGTTATCATCATACTTCAGCGAAAATATAAACAAAATCATTTAACACAAAAAATAAATTGAGCTCTCTCACACGTAAATGTGAAAATTTCTCAGCTTCGTTTCGCGGGTGCGGAACGAGCTCTGCTTCTGGTGTAGGGAAATGATGAAAGCTTACTTCCGACGGAAATCACGATACCAAACAAGGGCATAAAATTGTTCCTGAGTCTGCACGGTATGTACCACCACTCTGCCTATTTCTGCCTTGAAGCCGTAATGCGTTTCAGGTTCATGAGTAGGGCAGACGCTGTACTGTCAGAACTGATACTTATCAAGTTGAGGGGTGGTATTAACATAATTGGTGTCTATGACCACTAAAACCCAAGTGGGCCGGCATCAGTTTCTTCATTTATCTATAAATGAATTGCTGTTCGTTAGTCTCGCGAAAGGCTGGACCGATTTGGCTGATTTTGGTCTTGAATTATTTGTGAAAGTCCAGAGAGGGTTTAAAAGGTAGATAAATATGAAAATGCTCGGAATTAAATAAAAATATCAATTTTGTTTTTCCTTTGATGTGTTCCTCGTCGGTATTTTATTTATCGATTGAGGCACTACGAATTCTGCCGGTTCAGCTAGTCAATAATAATAATAATGATCTTAGTAAAAAAAAAATCAACAGGAACTGTTTTGAATTATTTTAATCACGTTGATTACTATACGAAGCACGGCTAACAATTCTGTTTTCCTCCACAGAGCTACGCCGCCTCCGCACCTATTAAGCCCTCTTCAGCACCTCCGCATACAACGCTACAGCGGACAGTACGGGGTGCTGCCAACAGTGGCGCTCCGGCCAGAGTCATACCTCGCTTCCACTTCCCCAAAGGTCGGCCGCCCGCCCCGCACCAGCAGGACCACGCTCTTCACAAAGTCCAGTCGGCATTCGCAACGTTCCCTAATAGTCAGGTATGTTACCGAAGTATATGTTACAGAAGCTCAACCAAAGTTCAAGTTACCGTATCAGAAATAGAGTGAGTGAGTGAGTGAGTGGGTGGGAGAGTGAGTGAGTGAGTGAGTGAGTGAGTGAGTGAGTGGGTGAGTGCGTGAGTATGTGAGTGAGAGTGAGTGAGTGAGTGAGTGTAAGAGAGAGAGAAAGAGAGAGAGAATATAAACATAATATACAATTTAAATAAATCATTGCATAAAACGATTCACTTATGATTGTGAGTTTAATTTATATTTCAAATGCACTTACCATTATTTACTCTGAACTACCTTTGGTTGACTATTACTGAATGCCTTAGGAATTAATTAAACCAATTTAAACAGTGCATGAAGTGTAATAAATAGATAAATTTTCTAAAATCTCAATTAAATCAGATTTAAACGCAATAAACCTACAATGACATGTTTTGGTCATAGGAATCCTACATATAAAATACAATTTTCGTCTGACACAAAATTATATTTCGAACGTGTCTCGTCTCAATTCAATGGATTTATTGCATTGTTTGTTTCCTCGTATTATACATATGTACTACGCACACAGGAGACCCGGGATTGACAAACGCTTATATAACATTACAGTCGTAAAAATGTCGATTACTTTTTGGCAATAAATAATACATCTTTCGCGGGAAAAACTCAGCCCAGGCTCAGAGATTCAGGGCTTAGAGTAAAGTGATCTTTCACGTTCAGACAACGTCGTTTTAGCTTTATCGATACATTACAGGCGAACTGCTATAAAGAAAAAGAGAGACACGCAGTTGATATAAAACACTAAGCCAATTTCAAATTGTGAAATAAAAATGACTAAACATTGAATTCGTTTCTGCCCTACGCGCAATATAAGATAATTTAAAGTCAATCCTCACGCGATCAAGTGCGATAGGATTCCCGCATTCAATTAGTTTATTATTAAATTAGTCTAGAAATAGCTAAATATGTACTTCACAAATCACTTAATCACATAGTATAATCAATTTCAATATTGAAATGTTTAAACCTTTCAAAGTAACAATTTATTTAATTTAGTAGAAATAATTCACGGTATTAATATTGACGATTTTTTTTAAATATTTATCACATAGATACTTGGAAACCGTTGAGGAACCCAAACTGAGACAGAATAACATTTATTTCTTAGCATTAAACTTTATCATTTATGTCCAAGATTCTTCAAATAATTTACCACGTAATTGTGTGTTGTGAGTAAGAAATTTTATTAAATCCTCATGAATAATTTTCGTAGAAAGATTGTGTCTGCTGTTGTAATTTAATGTATAAATTATTACTCTCTCACAACAAACTTTGCCTTTATATAGATATAATCACATCGTTCTTAGGAATGTGTTTGTATCATTGAAATGCGGGGCAGACTCTTTTAAGCCTTGCTTAATCGATTCCCGGAACCTATAAAAGGAATATGAACCTTATGCTTCAAGGCTTGATTAAACACAGAAGATATTGACAAAAACATTATCAAGTTCATTTTAAGACTTTAGAAAGAGACAGATCTTTAAATACACTTTAAACAAGAAATAGTCTCGCCAACTCAACCAAGAAGAGTGACTATCATTTTCATCCATAAAATTTGCTGTTTACAAACTAATTTTAAAATCACTATCCAACAATGAACTTCCATGTTTGCTGTTTTTACTACACACCTGTTTTTTTAATAGGTAGATATATATTTACTTAAGGTGTACACGAGAATCTTCTGTGTCCAATTAATTGTGATTATAGATTAAAAATGAATTCACAATTTATCGAGAGGATTTTTAAAAGTGTCACGGCAAGAACTGTCGATGACATACTCAAATACCCAGTTGATTTTTTACTTTCGTAGAATTTATAATATCGGAGAGTACAGATGTTTACAATTTTTTGTTAAATTATTTTAAATACGTTATTCTTTCCATAAAATTAGATAATCGAATATATTTTCGTTCATTCTGTTTATTTGGTCGTCCCCTAAGCGTTTCTATTTGTTTCCACGCAAAATTCTTAGGATTTACTGTATGAACTAAAACGTAATTTTCCATTGATCTTTTAGGATTCAATAAGATAAATGTAAGACAATAAAAATACAGAGACACGAAATACTATAAAATCTGTGATCAACTGGAAACATTTCAACGACAATCTGTGGCAAATTCGAACCATTTATCACTGTGGATATATCAGCGCGATCGGACCTCATATCAGTAAGGTTATTCAGGGCAAAAAAACAATCTCAGTTGGGCGACATCCAAATTCGGTCATTTCGGTCTCCGACCCGAACATCATAGATATTTGCTTAATAAGGCTAGACTCCGAAATTCTTTGCCGAACAAATTTCGGTAGGGAATCGTTTAGATGTTATTTCGTTAGAAAATCGTTTAGATATAACAAAAATTGGCTTTTCGATTTATAAAAAAACGATTGTTACTATTAAAAACTTAAAAGGAATTTTATTAATTGTTTCATTGTTTAATATCAGACAAGCTGTGTCCATCACTAAAGCTTCTCTATCGTTCTACCGTTACCTATCCTGACTTTGCAGGCACAACAAATACAGATAAGGTAGGCTGCAAATCTCGTTTGCCTTGGATGACAATAACAATATGTATTGACAAATAACAAATGATGAACAAGCTCTGCGCACCTGGTCGTTGCCGAAGACCATAGACATCACACAATAAATGTCGTCACCCACTATGAGACATGTGGTAAATTGTAATGAATAAGGAAGGCTCTATATCTTAACTTTTATACTAGAAACCATGGTTGCTTTGCGGTCAATTTCAATCTAGTATTCAGTCATCAAGCGCACGTCTCAAGACACCCCGGTAACCCTGCATCCTAACCCATTCCGCGATTCCGATCTGGTAGTAGATTCATTCACGAACCAGTTGCTCTTGAGTTGTTAGGTCTCCTTTGGAAGCGCTCAGGCAGCTGTTAGCAAATCCCATCCCTCCTGGCTGAGCCTTTGCTCGCCCACCTGTCCGGGTAAAACTGGAAAGGCCTCTGGGTCAACAGGAATCACTCATTCATAAAAAACAGTCTCAAGACGAGTGGGGCAGCTTTGAAGTTCAGGTAAGCCGTGAGATCGTTCATTTATACAGGCCTATTTTAAATTTAAAATTTAAAATGTCCCATTTATTCTTTACCTATTAAATTTTCTCAACTTCTTCTCGTCTATATGTACTAAAATATATTTGTTGTTGAGTTTTGACCATTCGCCATCGGACGAGCCATAAAACTCATCCGCCTTAGAAAACAAGAACAAAAAAATCAATAAACTCTATTAACGAGGCGTGACAGGAGCTAACTGTACAACATATTGAAATGCAATGTAATTCTTATTCTAATAAAGCAGATGATTTACATTTGAATAACATAATTTACTGAGCAGTTAATTTGTAGATCAGTAACCTTAATCCTATTTTAATGCAAAAATAGCAGTAACTTAACTATAAAATATCAAATTACTTAAAAAATTTTTAAAACCAATTTATGATTGTGTCAATCTGTGTTATTTATGTTGATTTCATATTAATAATCTTGTATTGTATGTTAATGAGTGGTATTATGAATAAAATTAAACGATATTAAAATGATTCTGATATAATACCTATTCCAGCGTATCTAATGAAGAAACTTTTCAATCACATTTCATTCTCAATGTTTATAATGCGTCACGCCTAAAATTAAGATATTAACTTTCAAGAAATATAAGTCACAAGTGTAGACAACGTGAGATACATATTTTTTTAGGATGAATTTGGTGTTTACATGGCCTTTTCTTTGTATATCATCTTCTTTGTATGACTTGTAAATTAAACTTTTAAAATTAACATTATTATTTATTGTCATTATTATTAGGGCGCCAAAACTCATATAAATATTAGCCTATCTATTAAGTACATGTATTTTCGACATGGATACCAAGTTTCAAATCAATCGGATGGATGGTTCAGTAGTTATAACGGAACATCCGTAAAAACCACTGTAGATTTATATATTAGTATAGACTAATATAGATTACAAAACATTCCATCATGTAACTTTACTTTCTTGCCAGTTTCGAAGGTCATACGAAATGCAAATAATGATAATTATCTTACCCATTGATGGATTTCGCTGAGGTTCGTCCTTATAAGGCGCCGGTACCGAGATAACTGTGTGTAACAAACCCCACAAGGCTTTCGACTATTAAGATAACCTAATAAGTAAAGTTGAGAAAGATTTGAATCTAAAATACCAGTCAATGACATTTACGTGGTTGCAGTAAAGAAGACGATTTAAGTACGCACTTCAACTAGTTTAATGCTTACGAGAAAAGTTTGTTTTTATTTTTTATTGCTTAGATGGGTGGATGAGCTCACAAGACACTAATGGCTTGTAGACGCCGGAGCCCATAGACATAATCAACGTATATACTGCCAGACACCTCAAGACATGAGTTTTAATTACAACGGCTGCTCCACCCTTCATACAGAAACGCATTACTGCTTCATGGCAGAAATAGACAGGGTGGTGGTACCTACCCGTGTAGACTCACGAGACGCCCCACCACCAATAAAACGCCCTTAGAGAGTGAACTAAGAAGTTTGTTTGAGATGCCTTCGTCATCTCCTTAAATCAGTAACAGAGTTATTTCCAACAACCTCTAAAAACACATTCAGGGATTACAAAAGTACTCCCACTAGCACGCAGCATTCTGGCTATCTGTGCTCTAGACATTGCTGAAAATCTTAAGTGACAGTAACCACTGACTGACTTTGGGAATCAAAACCGTCAGACTACGAAAGTGATAAAAAAAATTGATGTTTTATACTCTATGGATAGCTTGGGTTAAATTATTTTTTGAAACTGATCTGAATTTGACAACATTGTTTCTTCTGAATATCTGTCGTTTCGCACAGTTTAGCCGTTTTTCGATCCAAGGTCCTGTACGAACTAAGAATATACATGTTTCTATC